GTGTATTGCTGAGAAAGAGTTCCAGTCAAGAAAGAAAAAGTTAACAGGTACACACACTTGTGAAAAACTGTTTTCAAAATAACCATCTCTAAAGAAATTTGCATAAAAATATAATGAATACAGTTATCCCCGAAATGTTGGGTATAACAAAGTCCAACAACAAAAGTTCAGCAGGAGTTCACATCAACCAACTAGTAACAGAAATTAAGCAATGAACATGTATATGTATTGTAACGGAATAACTGCATAGAATATATCTTCAATAGAGGATTGAAGCTGGTTAAACAATTGTAACAAATTGAATTGAGTAGTAATATTATTAAATATAATGCTCTGAAAACGATGCAGATATGCAGTGAAAAACCGTCTACGAACTCAGAAAGGTCACAGATCACGCAGAGGGACAGCCAACAGGTAATCTATACAGTCAATGATACAACAATCAAAGGAAATAACCAATCATAAGCCGCTTCGTCAAGGCAAGCTACTAAATCACTGACGGAGAGATATTGACAGCTCACTTCATACTGTAGTTAGTGCTGATGATGTCGTCTAGAAGAACGATGACAGCTTCACGATTAAACAACCCAGCCCAGAGAACACAATACAACTAAGCCTGACTTCATTGGTGTCAAACACAGGAGAGAACTTGATCTATTAATCTTTATACAGTAATTAAAAGGTTATGTTAACCGGCTGATATCATTCAATTTTATAATAAAATACTTAAAATTAGCTAAATCTAAAAGGGTAAACTCTAATTGATGTATCATATTATATGCTTTTACAGAACAGGATGCCACTGAAGATTTTGAAACTTAATTTAGGCACAGAACAAGATACAAATATACAACGAAAAAGGTTTTGAAAAGGATTGAAAGAAGGAATGAGGATGAACTGAAAAACTATTTTCACACAACTAGGTTACTCGCTTGATAAGAGAAATTTAAATTATCTCAGAGAATATCTTCATTTGAATTAATGAAGAATATTTGTAGCTCAGGTGGATGGTCTTGGTTGTATTGTGTTCTCTGAGCTGGGTTGTTTAATCGTGAAGCTGTCATCGCCTTGCTAGACGACATACTGAAGTTAGTGCTGTTTACAACCAAAAAAAGTAATTTTAATATCAAAGTATATGAAGATTATTGGCATAATTTATCAATTGCTGGTTTTTAGAGAGTGATTAGCTTCAAGGTAGTTTTCAATACGGAGAACGATATGATGAAACGAATCTGTGCATCTGAGAGCTGGTAGTTCGAGGCTTGATTCCTTCTGGGATTATATACGTGGATTGATGACGAGTTCCAAACAGCTGTCTAGCACTCCAGGAGTTTCAACGGTTCTTTGATGGGTATCAATTCGTATAAAAAAGTAATCTCGGTAATTTTGAACTAAGAGGGAAGGTGAAATCCTCGGTTGCATAATAACAAAAGATAAAAAGGAATGATAAAGTCACAGTTAGTCAGTCACTATCATCATAGAATTACTGTGTAATGGTCGACTCATATGAAGGTAGAGAGCACAATAATGAAAGATAGAAAAATAAGGAAGAAAGTAGTCAAAAGTTGTATAAATTCGAAACATGAGATGAAGGGAGGAAATCGTAAGAAAATTCCACATGATGATTTAGATTAACAATGCACAGACGACTGTCACCTAGTAACCCCTTGAGTAGTTACTTTCTGCCTTAGGACTTAATGCTTACATACACCTGCGAGACCCCAAAGACTTGCTATCAAAGCTGCGGAAATTCGTTGTGAATCATGCGAATTCACTGAGCTGGCTGCATGAGTTTAAGTGAATAACCATATTTGGATCTCGTATGTGTTCACACACCGATGACCTGAGATCCCAGTGTTTTGACTATCAAAGCTTGGTGCCGATTTGATGAACGGTGCAGACATTCAAAACTCTGGTATTTAGTTTGCAGGTGGTTTCAGGCGACCAGAGACGTTGTTCCGCAAACTCAAATAGTTATGAAAAGCTGGAACAAATCAGAGATGTAGAAATATAGATCGAGATACGTGAGGAAACGTTAGACGGTACATGTGTTGAAATTTGATGGTGATCTGAGGAAACTTCAGTGCTGAGAGTTGAGGGTGGTTGACACTTTCTGGCTAATTACATCAGTGGAAGGTTACTTCTTGAGGTGCCTGAAGAAACTAGATTAGCAGCAGCTCTGTATGACTGCAGAGCTGAAACGATATCAGTCACACAACGCCTGCATGAGATTTGTCTTGAATTCAGCCAGAAATTTATACCCTCTGGCATTGGAAGACGACCTTTTCTAACCCCGTTCCCCAAAGAGAAGGCAGCTAGTTATCCAAGGGAAACCATTGACTGTTGTCACATCTCGTCCAGTGACCTGTACAACTATGACATCAGAAGCCTGTCTAGGCGTAGCTATTAGCACTATACTCATATGAAGACTGTGTGACCAGAATCAATTAGGGGTCATTTGGGATAAGTGATTCAGTAGGACTAACCACTTTCGCTTTCAAATAATTCAAAATCTAGAGTCGCATGATATGTATAGAGCAGAGGTATCAACCTGCCTAAATGCTTCCAGCTAGACACAAAACAAATCTGACCACAACCTACCTTATTTATCTTTCTCTTCACCAACATAATGACGTCAAAGTTTTCGTATTCGGTGACCACTGCTAACAATGCATGTCAGTCAACACTGTCCCTAATATAATAAAGCAACACTACACACTAACTTGAGATTTTCCACGTTCGAACCCTACGTAAAACTGAACGATAGGTTAATACTACTACTGACATCTTGGACTTTGCACGTATGCTATTTTTGTGCTATGGACTCAGAACCTAAAGGTAGCTATCACTAACCAGTGTAGTGAATCTGAAAGATTCACTTTATAGGCACAGGGAGTTTCAATGACTAGTTCCTGTAGGCTTGCGTTAGTTCAGATGCGTGCGATGACACTTGAAGGATAATCTAACGTGGTTATTTTCAAAATAAACTACAAGAGAAACTTACTGACTTGCATTCACACAGATTTATGGATAAGTATGTGGATTTCATTCATGGAGACACTGGTGAAGAGCAACCACCTAGCAGTTAAAATAGTTGAAAATTAGGCGCATCAGTCAGAAGTGAATATTTAAACCTTGAATATAAGGACAATAAAACGGGACTTTCCATAGCCTGAAATTATCTTGATGAAAATGCCGATTTGTGAATCCAATCTCAGTGAAACCAACAAGCCCAGCAGAGGAGTTACGGTTCATTGGTTTAGAGAGCTGAATTTCAACGAGTGGGTGGCGGGTTGGAACACCGTTCTACGTACCGAGGTTTGGGTAGCCAGATCGTATCATTAGCCCTCACACAATAAGTGTGACTCACTGCCTACACACGAATACCAACAAGGTTGGTGAGTGATTTCCAGAGTGGTCCAACAATGAGATATCTAGACTTCAATAACAGACCATATGGAACGAAACGAATGTCTCTAAGCTTGCTTTAACTTCATGACTGAGTGTACAAAACATTTACAGTGAAACTAACGCTACTCACCGGAAGCTCGTTTCGTAATGATGATACAAAATTGACGGAACTATAGGTCTGAGTAACTCTAGCTTGTTTAAGGACCTGTAATATCTTCTGGTCGACGCAAAGTAATGTAACGGGAAAATGAAGATATAAGATCTTACGTAAATATGCACTTACCAAAGGTATTGGTGACTTTAAGTACGTCACAATGCTTATGGCTCCCCTTTCTTTCTTGATTTATGCAAAAAAACTATTCATCTAGTGTTATTGCTTGTATTACACCGTCGTTGATTGGACCGAATTGATCAGTCTCTGTTGGCATATGGGCTCCTATGCGGATGCCTCGATATTGCCTGTCTTTTAACCATGTTTAGTAATGATGGGCAGTGGCTAGCAGTGGAATCCAGGATGTGCATTTCATCCTATTTGTGACTCGTCAGCTGGATGTACCTGCTTCCCAGTGAGTGATGTTGTTCCCACCGGGACTCGGGAGCGATCGCTTCAAACGCCAGCGCGTTATCCACTACACCACCGGGCCACGATAGCCACTTCTTGTGCGACGGGTATAGGTTTAGTGTTATTGCTTGTATTACACCGTCGTTGATTGGACGGATAACGTGCTGGCGTTTGAAGCAATCGCTCCCGAGTCCGAGTCCCGGTGGGAACAACATCACTTACTGGGAAGCAGGTACATCCAGCTGACGAGTCACAAATAGGATGAAATGCGCATCCTGGATTCCACTGCCCATCATTGCTAAAACTATTCATCATTCGAAAATCACACAAATAATTATCTTACCCACAGTGCTAACTCTATCTCCACCAACGAAGCATTCTACGATTAACTCCTGCACGCACTCGCCTTACTTATCTGAAGCCATGATGGTTTTACAAATGTAGACAGGACCTACTAAAGCAGTTGCTACTTGCATTCATCTACCTTAACACATTTATCTTCAAAATATAATTAACCCGATAACAGTGTACTATTTCACCAACATCAAGAAGTCGGCCATAGCCCCTACTACTGAGTTAGAGGTACATTTAAGGTAACTGTGACAAATCACTAGTGAACAAGTTTAGTGCAGATGTTAGTGTCGATTGGAACAAGCGTGAGCATCCAGTTGGCATCAAATACAGTTAGAAGCCGAACTGACTGGTCGATAACAACTCCAGTAAACCAGAATATCTATTTCTTGTATTTATTCCCTTTGTCTTTCTTGAACGTTGACGTGAGTGACATAAGTGCAACCTGTGCAACACTATAAGGTGAATAAAATTGCAACCAAAATTATACAGGGAAATATTGAATAAATATACCGTCAGTCTTGAGATAAATGACGGAGATAAGTGGAAAACCAGATCTTAAGATAGCATATTAATTCGACTGGCTTCACAACACGAGTTTTTGTTTAACATGTATGAGAATAAACCGATTCACCGTTTATACGGAAACAAGATACGGGATCAAAACAAAAGAAATACACGTAGAACAGGTTTTATTTAATTATCCATAAAAATAATAAAAGGAACAGAAATCTATTTATATGAAATCTATAAGTGTTAATATAGTACACGAGAATCTCTAGGGAAGTACACATACATCTTTAGATTAAATAAGCCAAACATCATCCCCAGCAAGCATTATACGATTATCGGTATGCATAGATTCTAGGGTGGTTCGAATATCTGACTGGCTAAATCCACTGCTTTGAGATCGAACTGCACTAGTTATCTAAAAGAAAAACAATTAGTAACAGATTGAAAGCAATATATGTTAAATAATGCTGCTTTAAAGTGATTTTCAATATCACTGGTCACATTTCACTAATTCCTTCGAACGAAATTCCTGTATTTATCGCAGCATAGTTTCAAGGAAGACACAACACAGTTATATAGTTTAATTTTAATTATTACATAACAGAATTGTGGAGATCTACTGCACTCAGCACAAAGAACAAGATCCAGATTTTCAACACCAATTCACTCAAGTCAGTGCTTCTATGTGATCGTTCAAAAACTTGGCGCGTTACGGAAAAACATTTCCAACAAACTACAAACATTCATCAACAGCTGCCGCCTACGTCCGTTACTGAAGATCAGATGGTCAGAATAATAAGAATAAGCAACAAGGAACTCTGGCAGTGAACTAACCAAGAACCTATCACCCAACGAATATGCGGAGGAATAAAATGGAGATGGATGGGATCGGGCATACATTGAGAAAACCATTCGAGGATATCACGCGCTAGAACAGGCCGTCGAGTGGAATCCAGATGGGAAACGACGAGTTGGGCATCCCAGGTGAGGCTGTCGTGGAGCTAGGTTCAAAAGATCGCAGAGAAGAGAGTGGAATGGAGACGTGCTAGTGAATCCCTATGTTCCAAAGGAATCCAAGGGAAGATAATATAACAGAATCGATGAAATCAAGTAATCCGCAATTTACAATTCAAATGATGTCTATTTAATATATACTGGGTAATGATTGAAAGTGAGATGAAAATCCGGCCGCGGTCCAGATTTTCATCTCATCTTCAATCATCACCGTTGAGTATAAATACTAGTCTGGCAAACTACTGCTTTCTCAAACAGTCAACTGATATTTAATATATATTGATTTTGGAGACGTAGATTGGTCTGCATAGCAAACTAAAATCAGTTGGAGAATTACTGGACCATTTTTTGTAGTGTTTGAAGTTAATCTTATCATTACTATCACTATTTTTAAACTGAATAATTCATTGTATATTAGTAGCTCGTCGCAGAGATGCACTTTCAAAATTTCTAACAGGACATATTGAGATCATTGGAGCGGAACTTTCAACAGGCCCACTATACTAAGAATAAACTAAATCAAAGAAACAATGAACTGAAGACTGTAAAACAAAAGACATCAACATTTTCAGTTTGTTCCACTATATGAGAAGTATGAATTACTACTGAGATGTAAAATGACACATAACGACTAACTAATACTTCCTACCTTTTAAATGTTCTTCAAGTGAAATTGAAGGAATAAACTGATGCGACATGTTTCATATAGGTGGTGGAGGTGGCTAGTGCTTCAATATTTGGTTACAGTGAAATGTAGGTCGAAACACGCTAACAGCAAACGTTTGCATATAGGCAATAATCAGAAAACTTTTTTCTTACTATATTTCGATAGTATAGAGATTTTTATTATTGAGAACCTATTGCAAAACATCTTTCTGGGTCACTTTGATTATTATATCATTACACGAAACGAGAACCGTATGAAACATCGGTGTCAAGAAATACGCTACACAATACTAGATAACACCGTTGTGGAAAGGTAAGTGAAAGATAAACTACGACGACTTACTGGTTTGGTATTTGACTACTAACCAGTGGTTTACATATTTAAACCCATAATACTCACTTTAAGCTATATAAACTAGTTGTAAAATAAATCCTCACAAAGTTGATATGGTTCATAGCCAACTGTATACACACGTATGAAACTCGATAAGGAAATTCACAAACAATCAAACTACAATACAATTCATAAAGATTTGATTTTTATTTGTTCGTTTTCCTAAGACTAACTTTAAGTTACCAATGAAGTCTGATGATATCCCCTAATATAATCAGTGTACTGCATGTACAAACTAAACTACCGGATATTTTCAACCTTTACTCTAACCATATAGTGTTTGTCTAGTCATTGTCACATCACAGAAATTATAAATGTTAAAGTGTGGCTAGACTGTGGTATGACCAAAAAATATTCCACATTGGATACAGAAACTCTTATGAAAATGAAAGAATATGAAAATTTGATTATGGTCTTCAATCCCGAATACATAATGAGATCGTCATGAATGACATTACATTGACGATATAAAAAGGGACGTACTACTTGCTTCTTTGTTCAGCTTAGTTGCTAGCCATCATTTTTACAACTTCGATTTGTGATAGACTTCCAAACCTTACACAGCCATTAAGTATTATTTACAATAAAAATTAAGTTTGTAACAATGAGTGGTCCAGTTACTGGTGTGTAATTCATTGAAAATAACATAACTAACCTCAGATACTGTCAACTGTTCCACACGACGTTCTTGAAACAGTCTACTGATCATTGTTGACAGCTGCGCTTTGCGTTCTTGATGTAAAACAGAAGAAATGGGGACAGTCTCTGCTAGAGGTTCAGTTCTGACTAAGGTAGGATCTTCTACAAACGCATACGGATCGTTTGGATCAGGAGTGTATTCGCTTTCCCTGGCACCAGGTCTTGAGATGAAAAGGGAAATATCAGAGTATGAATATGACAAATGTAACCATCAGCAACATGCATTATAATCTTTTACAACACAAGCAGGTTCTTCTAAATAACAAAACAAAAATTTGTAGGATACAAACCACAAGTTTTGAACATCTTGGCTAGGTAATTGTTTACTTAGTGCAGTAAACCACAGATGCCTCCAATAGTTTGACATTATCACTGGAATAAGTTCAAGATTAGCAGTATGCTCAAAACATGGAAATAGTCCTCCTCATCACTTTAAATAGATAACGAAATAATACGCGTCTGTAGCTTCATCAACAAGCTTTCGATTTGTCGTAAGTTTCTGGTAACACAGTGCATCAATAAAAAATGAAACAGCTTTTCGACAGTGAAACCATAACGTAAGGACTTAAAATTCCTGTAAATATTACCTAAGTATGTCGTTTGGGTCGGTCCGAGAAATTAATTCCATGTTGTTTTTAGCGAACGAATAGCAGCGATGTATGTCCAGTGACGTGCAAACAAAATGCACGATCAGATATATATAAAAGAACATCGTATAACGGTTTGATTTATTACATTCTACGTAATAAAGCAAACAGCAGTCAATAAAAAAGTAGTAGAAAGAACAATAAAGATATGAACAAGCAATATTAGGAGGTCAGAAGTCAAAGAAGGTAATGGAGGTAATACCGATTTTCTAGATTTAGATTATACGGCATAGACGCCATCGATTTCGGTTGTTTTGCCAACCCTATTTAAGGAGTTTACCTTCTCAGGTATCGACTAGCAAAATATTCAGAATTCACTAATCGGTGTTACTTCTCGGCTTTAAAAATGGCGTCAGAGCATTCCCGCTTGAAGATCAACAGTAGATTGATATGTGTAACAAATATCCCAACGATTTCGATCATGAAGGCTTACAATCTCAAAAGATGCTGAGAAGGGTGGTTAAATACCAGAAGCATTCACTGGAACTCGAATGGTAGACAAACTGACGAGAATGTTCTCTGGAAAATAAAATTCGATACTGCAAAGTTGGTCAATAAAATTCAGAAAAAAATGAGCAACTTTGCTCGTGACAACTTATTCAGTTCAACATGAACACGTACATGGCCTAAATGCATACTTGAAAATACGGAAGTGAGTAGGCTTCATTTAGATCTCGATTGCTAAGTAGTGGAGTCTGAACAGTAGCTGACCTAAAATGAAATACAGCAGGATTCACATGTATGTTTTAGTTGATACAGATGCACTGCCTTAGGAATCAGGATCTAGTTTTGGTAATGAATGCACAGTATATGACACTATAAGTTGCAAACACGAAGAGATGTTCGAAGAGAAAATGATAGCACCAGAACTAGGATGTAAGGGGTAATACCTACATATTTTAACCACAGTTGATCTAGACTTTGTAATCACTGAGGTGAACCTATTATTGTTACACATATGTTGCTTGTAGGCCACAGAAGATACCAGTTATTATTAAAATAAGGTTAGTCATAGTTAGTGAAAAGTCTAATAGTACCTTATAATGATTATAGTCTACACCGATCTCAACTATAGGCTACAGCAAATACTGATAGAGTTAGCAATGTTAACTGTTGCTAACAGTTAACTGTCCAAGAAAAGAATACACAACATAAATGAAAAATATCTTTTATCTTTGCACAACCCAGAACAACTTCGAGAGTGAGAATTCAGAATTGACCGTCTTCGGGTTTCAGTTACGTGTCACTCGTTTCCCTAATAGTTAATGAATTGGTTTATTACACACAGATTACGAGAACTACACGTAATAGTGACTACACACTGACTAAATAACCCAATTCATGAGGTTATAATACAACTGGTTAAAAAGTTTGAGAAATAAAGATAGGGAAGAAAATGCATGAAATTATCTATAAAGTACCTTCGTTTTGCGGGACGTTCAGGCATAACGCGTTCCGAGTCATTCATATCATCACTTTCATCACCCGAGTCTTTGTCATCACCTGCATTACGATCACGTTTACGTTGAACTTTCTTCAGCACCTCCTAACCAACAAAAATGGAAACATTTAAAGATAAGAAAAATGAATGCAATCACTTAATGAAGCCCGAAAATTCTAAACATATCACAACTTGACACTAGACTTCAGTATTTTTTCATCCCTCTGTTCATTTGGCTTCATACAATCACCCAATCTAGTGATGATACGCATGACAGTCGTCAATACCGTAGAAGGTTACTTACTTAATGAGCTAAGTATAAATGATGAAGTTGTATAGATGGTACTATTGACTTTGGAGTATGATAACAAATCCTAAAAACAACTGCCGGAAGCTGATAACAAACAGCTTAATTTTTCATTTAGATTTAACTGTGTTGGACCTGTATCGAAAAACCTCTCAGTACACGTACCAGGAATCCATTGGATAAGAAAGGTGTACTGGTTTAGGACTAACCTGTACTAAATCTTTTATTCGCTCAAGAAAAGGGAGGGTCAACTGATCATTCTCAGGAAATACTAGCTGCTGCTACGTCCCAATACAGTCAGCCATATGACATCTTATTTGAACTTCATTATTTTGTAATACTTCGATTGTGAAATTACCAGTCAATTGCTGATTTAATCACATCGTTCTCCAACCAATCCTCTCGACATGAAAAAACCTCCAGTAATAAGCTCTTCAGCCAATATAGATCTAGCTGGTCAGTGTGATAGACAGACCTGATCCCTACATGAAGACAGAAACTACAGCCTACATCGGTGTAAACAAATGATTGGGATATAGTATGACTAAATGGAGCTATTAGCAACAAATCGAGAGTAGAGATACACAAACAGATAGCTGAAATACTTTTCGTCAGTGAAACAGACAGGTATCTCAGAATGGTAATGACTAATAAACGGAAACAGGGGAACTGAGGTCCGGTACTTATATGTAACTTCGCATACATGGTTGTGAGTCAGAGTTTGATGAGGATTAGTGATACTATTCAGATTACAGCATAGGTGGAACTTGACACCCTGAATCCCCAGTAGAGGTAGGAGGGCATCAACCGGTGAGCATTGTTGTTGACAAGACTAACAATCAGAATGTATCGATGTGGGATTTTCTTACAATCTGATACTTCATGATTACATTTCTCAATGCATAGTATTGCCAACAACCCTCATGCCTATGTCAGTACTTAATTTCCATGTGATCACCACCAACTTCGATATCGTTAGCTTTTAATATTTCCTCACATTCTACTGCTAATAATTCCACGTGGTCTCCAATTTTTCCCCATTCTACAGCTTATGAAAACGATAAATTTCACAAAATATTATGCCCAATATCCTAAGACCACACTCGCAAATGCATATCGGAGTCTAGTCTCACGACAAGCTTTGCTACCCAAAACTCTGAAAATTTGGGTCATAGACGCATGTTACCAAGAAATGTATGCTGGACTCAAGTGTGAACATTCATTCAACTTTACCTGACCAATGTGATGAATCTCCAAAAATCACCCAAGTTCCTGAAGAACTCTTGTCCAATTCTTGCGGTACTGCACGCACAGGTAAAACAATAAATTGACTAAAAGTTCTGATTTTAGCGGGTGTAACCAACAGGGATTGCCCACTACGTACATTATACTATTAAAGGCAGTGCACTCAAAAATACGTGGTTGTGTCATAGCACATAATGAGGTATCAGGCGAGTTTTCTACATGAAGGTATTCACTTTTTCCATTCTTATTTAATTTTGGTATAGACATACTTCTAGAGGTTTCTGTTTTCTCGTCTGACTTTAATGGGATTGATCTCGTCACAGGAGACTCAGTAGTAGACATAAAATGTGCAAACGACTTAGTCCTGATGAGTGAAGACGCTGATAAAATGCAGTTTTTTGGACACTTTCAGAACGCTTAGAATGCGTTTTTCACCACCCAAATGCAAATTCTTACTCCAAGACTAGTTTGAGAATGAAAAGTAAAACAGTAGGGCGTGTTGACCACTTCATTTACTTGGGAAGTCATATCAGCGTTGATGGGTCAAGAGTAGACAAATACAAAAGGCTTGAGTGGTATTCAACCTTCGTTGCTTTTGGCAATAGTCTTGGCATACAATATGGCCACGAAACATGTTCATTAGAGGTTGAGGATATGTAGAGTCAACGTGTTATCAATCAACCTTACCTTCGTAGTGCTAAATGAATGTCATGGAACAATTACGTTAGTAATGTTTAGGTTAGACGTCGTCTTGTAAGAAACGACAAGACGGGGACGAAGGAAATGTTTATTATTGACAACTTGTACAGTAGTCATCAAATATTGTACACCTTCCACTAAGACAGTCATTTGCATAATGTGCTTCATTTCCTCTACTGCTTCTATCTTGATTTGCTTTTAATACGCCCACATTGTCGTTTGAGTTTCTCTGGGCAAAATCTACACCCATTGCTGGTAATTCTTATGATTTCTGTCATTCTGATCAGCAGCGCCCACTACAGTCTTAGGTAAGGGAGATGAGTCAGTAGTTGGTGAGGTTGTAGGACCTGTTGTGGTTGAGACATGTTTTAAGCATGGCTGGTCACTTCCTACCCCGAAGCACAATATAGGATCATTTTAGACAAGGGTTAAAAGTGACCAAAATCGAAAGCAGTGCCAGTTCAGGTAGTTTGTAACTGAGCTGTGTGGGGGAATGTATACTTCCCAGTTAGGTTCTGGCTGATAATAGCAATCGACGTTCGGAAGATGCCTCAGAGTCAGATCCTGATTCAAACGCATCCAAACATTAACTTTATACTAACCACTGTACAGCATTTCGATATTTGATTTTTCTTCTTAAGACTTTCAGCGAAATTCGATTGCATTTAATTCTATTTCTCTGTTTTTCATCTTGTTGCCATGTATCTTCAGATGCTGATATGACGTGCTGCAACTTGAACTTCCATACAGCAATGCCAATTGGCTGATTGAATCTGTGAACATTGTGAGTTTACAATTCATATATGATTGCATAGGTAGTTACTTTTAATGAACTATAAGGAAATCTAGCCTTTTCCTTATGGTGTGTTGACTTAAGGTAGAAAGGCGAAATCGGTCACTAGTCGATATATGAACTGAAAATAGGTGAAAGCCATAATATACAAAGTTGACCACGTGTATAGACAAAGTTATGAGCAAAAATCGTTTGACTCAAGATAAAACAGATAGTATTCAAATTGTACATGACTAATGTGACACGAACAGTGTGATCGTTAAATGTTCTAGTGAACAGTTTGTAGGAAACTGATTAATTAATAAGATACTTTTCATCACTAAATAATATCAAGTGGGAAATCACTTAAAGTCAGGGGACATTCAATGATGAAATAATATTTTTCAACTCTAGGAAATAAGCACCCTTTAATGTTGTATAGTTTGAAATGAAACTCGACCATATAATTCCCAATCATAGTATAAACTATAGAGAGAAGTTCGACACACAAACTTTAAGATCTGGGATTTGTAGAAAGTAAGAAAAGAGAGTGGTAATTTTCATGTTTCATCAATTTTTGACTTATAGGTATTTTGGAGGAGAAAGAAAGTACTGTAGATTAACAGTGAGAAGTTTATGAGAAGTTTTAATACTTTTTAAAACGAGTGAAATATATCCGAAAATATCTATTGTTTATAAAATTAAAACGACAAGTAGAAAACAAACATTAGGGCAGAATAATATGGATTCATTGATTTTATTATTTCAGCGGTTCTCGTCAGCTGTTTACAACCTCAATCGAGACGACTGGCTGAACTCATTAAAATGAACAATAAAATGAATCCATATTATTCTGTTCCAAAGTCTGAGCTTGTTCTTTTAAAGTTGGTGATAGGAAATATGTGTATAAAGCAAACAACTGGGTTCAGGAGAATAAGAGCGCTTACTTTGAACAAAACAAATGATATTAGTTGTACGGCAGCCTCAGCATCCTTTTTGGTCACGGTTTTAGACATACGAGCTTTGGCATGAGCAGTGGCCAGACGAATTAAGGTTTCTAAGCTACGTGCTGTTATCGGTTGAGTACGACGCATACGATTTTGATCACCACGACCAGGTCGACCAATGCCTTCGGTTGCTTCTTGGGCTCTTAGGTCACAATATTTTTCAGCTAGAATAGATGCTGCTTCTTCAGTTAACTGCGGCTTCAGTTGTCGAGCTACGTGAATGTACTTTTGTAGGAATTTCATAGTAAGTTGGTCCCTAATTAGAACAGAATAAACACATAGGAGAGATTATGGTGAGATGATTGTTACAAATGGATAAGTGTGGCATTTCTGCACCAAAATGCAATGATAGCTGGAAAAAGCTAAAAATGATCAAATCAAGAATGCATCATTTTGTGAATTCTTAGATTATTTGTTTCAACCGTGAGAACTTCCTGATTGTATGATTACTAAAAATAGGTGAAAAATAAGATATATGGTTGAAAAGTGATAGCAATGGCATAGGTGTATCTGCTTCTTACTGCTCCAAAAATCTGAACACTTAACATCCTTTGGTATCTGACCCCTCAATAGTGACCAGTAAGAATATCAAGAGTTACTAATGACAATGGGTTAGAGTTTGTCACTAAAAAACTATTCATAAGTGATAAGAAAATATGGTTCTCATATGGATTGAAAAAAGTGCTTCAACTGGTAAGCTGTCCATCAGACACTCGACCACTTTTAAAACCACACTACCTCTTGAACCGCTCACAAAAATAGGCTACAATATTATCTCAAGAATGAATAACTTCAAAGGTGTAAAGTGCCTTGAAAAAGTAATAACTGATTTATAATCAAAGGATCAAAAATTCAGACTCCGCATTTTCGGTTTGGACAGATAGTAGTGTTATAGCTTTTAAAGCATGGTTGCATCTTATTTTTTATTATTTGTCCCTTGGATTCCTAGTGGAACATAGGGATTCACTAGCACGTCTCATTCCACTCTCTTCTCTGCGATCTTTTGAACCTAGCTCCACGACAGCCTCACCTGGGATGCCCAACTCGTCGTTTCCCATCTGGATTCCACTCGACGGCCTGTTCTAGCGCGTGATATCCTCGAATGGTTTTCTCAATGTATGCCCGATCCCATCCATCTCCACTTTATTCCTCCGCATATTCGTTGGGTGATAGGTTCTTGGTTAGTCCACTGCCAGAGTTCCTTGTTGCTTATTCTTATTATTCTGGCCATCTGATCTTCAGTAACGGACGTAGGCAGCAGCTGTTGATGAGTGTTTGTAGTTTGTTGGAAATGTTTTTCGTAACGCGCCAGGTTTTTGAACGATCACATAGAAGCACTGACTTGAGTGAATTGGTGTTGTAAATCCGGATCTTGTTCTTTATGTTGAGTGCAGATCTCCACACTGGTTTCAGGTTAATGAACGCCTGTCTTGCTTTTCCGATCCTGGCTTTGACGTCCTTGTCTGTGCCGCCTGTAGTTGAAACAGTGCTGCCTAGATAGGTGAAAGAAACTTCAAAGCACTGACAAATGGTTGCATCTAACAACCCGAAAATAACCGTGAACGGTTATTGTATCGTATCCTACATGTAGTAAAGCTGGGAAGGTAGATTTTAGAAAATCAGAAGCATGAAAATATCAACTGTTGCATGCACAAAACTCATGATGCATAACCATACCTAAATCGTCTGCTTACATTTACATTATCACTGTAAAATACTTTTATTTGTGCTAAGGAGAAGCACTGATGTTTCATAAACTCAAACCATATAACGGTGTAGAGGAAACAAGGAATTTAATTCTCAGGCCTTCTCTTAAAAGGCGGTAGAATCTTGCTTTTCAGCTTAGGATTTTCCTAAATTCTTTATCTTATACTCATCTCTTGAACTTGAATCATAATACAATGAGGCATTCCGTGAGCATATATATTTTTCTCCCGATCTTGTGAAAAACTACTTCCAGATAAGTAATACACCGGTGTCTTGACTGTCAAGCTGTGAATACAGTAATACAGCTCAGAAAATAGCATCTTCAGTTTTGTGAAACTAATTTTCCTCGTTCTACACAGGTGCAAACTTTTCGTCCTGTACTTCAATGATACAAATATACATTTAAGACACTTACTTTTTTCGGCCACTAGATGGCAACAGAAACTCATCTTGTTGTTCATATACCTGATCCTCTTCCTGTGTACGAGAACCATCAGTTACAACATCTTCATCGTGATCATCTTGTGACACGGCAGCAAGTGGGTCGGCTCCGGTGGTAAGCAAATGGGTAGTAGATTGCAACGGCAAGGCTTCTCCTTCTTGTTCCCCTGGTCCTCTATAGCGATGGATTCTAAGAACGTGTTCAGCGATGGAACGATCAGAGTCTGGATCGGCTTTATCCAGTACAATGAACAGTAAATCGAAACGAGACAAGAGAGAGTCCTGAAACAAAAGTTAGGAAGGATGCTCATTCACTACGTACTTTAATGAACCATGCAGCTCAATAAAATAAACGATGAATATTGTTTTGTAACAGAACGACACCGCTACGACACCTAAATGAATGTACTTACTGATCTGCTTAAGTGGTCAAATAATTTATTCATAAATCTACCACATAAACAACTGAGAAGAGGGAAAATAAAGTAAATACCTGAAAAAACTGGGGTTAATAAATTTGTCCCAGCAGCACAAAATTAAAAATATTTGCTTTAAAAAATCAATATTGTGTAAATGTTTCATTATCAATAGAAATAAGATATTCTCGATGCAAAATGTCATAAATTTCTTAGATCAACAGGATGTATACACATGAAAATACAACATCACTAATCAATCTTCGAGTTCACCTTTACAAAGGATCACTGACATCCGCCGTAAACGGTGAATCTACTAACATGTGAAATATTATGTGGCAATGGAAAATTAATAAGATTGACAACTTATCTGACCTTCCTAAACCCGCTACAACTATAAGCTAAAAGCCTGAATTTAATAAATGGAAAATACGAGTTCAAAATTGCACCTGAAGGTTATTTTCATGCACGTAATCCAAATTTCAGATACAGCAGTGTATGATTTTGTATTTCTTGAACGCACTGAAAATGTATCTGCGATGCGACATAGTTCACTGACAGAATTTTTAGCATTCTTCGAGTGTATTTATTAGCTTACAAATGCACCAAAATGGTTTTCGAAGATCGTGAGAGAAAACATTTTGCTACAGAGAATGAAATGTAAATAGCAAATTACAATTGTATTCCGTACTTTCAAAAGGTTTACGGTGAATAATTAGTTGACAGTGCCATATTTTAGGGTTAGATGTTTAGCCAGCAGGTAGCTCCAGATTTATATTTCATGCTTGTTGGCACTTATCAGCAAGGCGTAACTGTAATGTTGTGGAAACGTATATTTTCTCCCAGAATTGAATCCACCTCGCTCAGTACTGAACTGCAGGTATGCCTTGTTGAAGAATATCAGTAAGTACAAGATAGAGGTTCAGGTCATGCTGTAGATTGACTCCCGACGTATAAAACCAAAACACAGTGCGGTGTCGAATCAAATTGTGAACTCGATCGACACACCTCAATTAGCACTGATCGCTTAGAACCTGGCAACCAATGTATCATAAAGCTGTTTCTCCTGACACTCTCCATTCCAACTCGACACTTTCAGAAAAAGCAGGTGGTTGTGAAGCTTACTCTTGGGCGTAAATTAATATCATGCAGATATGAATTCACGCTAAAAATAAACCTCATTCATTGTGTCAATTATTTATTGCAGATATAGTTCTTAATTTAATCATAGTCATCATACAAAGCAAATCATAAAGTGAACTGATTAGTAGAAACTTAGCTTATTGTTCGTATAGATGTCAACATACAAGATGTTATTATTTGAAAAGTACAAAAAACAACAATTAGTGCTTCAGCTTCTTGACCATAGATAAATATATAGGTAAATGAGAAATGATAACCTCTTGTAGGATAAAACTTACTTGAAGACCAATATTTTCCATTGGTGTTTTGTACTGATCGTATTTACCGTAGACAGGATTTGCAGCTGCTAAAACTGAACACCTTGCATTCAACTTAGCCTGGATACCAGCTTTAGAAATAGTCACCCGTCCTTGTTCCATTACTTCGTGAATGGCAGTTCGATCAATGTCAGACATTTTATCGAACTCATCAATGCAAACAATACCTCGATCAGCCAATACCATGGCACCAGCCTCGAGGGAACGTTCGCCTGTTAATACAACATAAAAAGTTTGCTAGTTAACAGAAAAGGATTGAGAAATTTATACGAACTGCTTTACAAATCATTACATTCCAAATGTGTTGATACTTATATTGTTTACAACATTATGATATGAATTGAATAATACTGACTAACATAGTTGCAAGATTTCGAAAGATTGTTTTTTTTAAAGTATCAAGCACCCGTTGACGTAAAAAAGCGGGGGAAATTACGATAACCAAACCTAAGTATGCTACCACTCAAGAGGCTAGAGAGTGGAATGGAGAAGAGATAAACTTACAGACAATGATTTTAACGAGATTAAGCAATTGGACCAAGTAAGCAAGTTGCATCTACCTTCTACTCGACTTTTGAAATAAACATCCTTATGCTTTTTGTTAGGTTTCGTTTTTTCCCGACATTGTTGCTAAACAGTTAAGTAGCTCTAACTGGTACACTGTTTTAAGTTGTTTGATCGTTCGCTTGCTTCGTTGGATATTTGTTACAAAGAGCGCACAATAATAATTTTTGCATGATATTGGAAGTTCACTGGTCTTTCTGAAAACCGTGTGCTTTGTAAGTTGAATCCTATATACGAAATTCATATCATACTAAGGATAAAGAGGTATTATATTTGGTCATACATGATCAACTAATGATATAAAGATTTAAGACAACTAGTCGTAACTTCTGTAAAACAAGCCGAGTATTATGATGAGTGTGACTAAACCAAGTCAAACTGCTGGCTATTTTAAAAATCAAGTTAGTGTGCTTTTTTCAAGTAACTACTGGTGTTATATTTTCCCTCTGGAATAAAAGGGCTAGAATATGTCAGACTCGAAAAATCTGCAAATCACTTCAGTCCACGATTCTATTGCAGATATCATGATCCTCTCATAAGTAAGCGAAAATAAAGAAGCAGAGATTTTAAAGCGTTCAGTGATGGTCGGTGGATAATTAAATTTTTGGTTCTGTTAGATGCTAAAATTTACTTTGTTCAATGAGATTTCCCGACACTTGTTAATCATGCGTAACGTAGCATTCTTCTTTACAAGAACCACTTTTTCGCATTCTGTTTTGAAGAGTAACAGCCTAAATTAATGTATTTCTGGGAAAACTTCTATGTTGACCTCTATCTACTAGGTAACAGTAGTGGTGATTTCCTGTACTTTTGCAATAAAGCCATCTGTTCATGACAAGCAATAAATTGTAAAAAAGGAAACATCTGACTTGGTGGCTTAGGGAATCTGTCCAATCGTAGACACAAACACTATGCAGCCTACTAGTTACTGTTGGAGAATATTGATTAGACATTCTTCTTTCCAGAGACAACATAACATTTAATTGAATTTAAACGGGTGCAGCAGTTATGATAACTCATACACAGTGGAAAGTTCAACTGCTCTGATCTTCATACATGTGAAACTTTAACTATTGTGAATGAACTGCGTTGCTGTAACCTATTTCATATTTAAAAATATTACATGAGTTAAAAACAATGGAATTTAACAAAACTTACCTGTTTCCATATCAGTCGTAACTGCAGCAGTTAAACCCACACCCGACGAACCCCGACCAGTGGTGGCAATAGCACGATGTGCAATATGCAGAACGAAGCGAAGAAATTGGGATTTCGCAACTGACGGGTCTCCCATTAACAAAAGGTTTATGTCACCACGAATACGGGAACCATTAGAAAGTTGACGTTCAACACCTCCCAAAAGTAGTAAAAGAATTGCCTGCTTGATGTGTTCATGACCATAGATTGATGGTGCAATGGAACGACTCAGAAGATTTACAACATCCTTGAGCACAAAAGAATATAACTTTGAGAAAAATGACTGAGTTGGAAAAAAAGTCAAACAAATATGGAAAACAGTGTCGAGGAATCCTAAGCGCATGTGTACGACTGGAGTGAACAAAATATTCACTAGAAGACATGTAAAATAGTTTACGAACTTATCAACTTAGAGTGAAAATCCGGCTTCTATGCCGCTAGGATGCTGTAGACTGGAACCAACGCACGATATAGCAAGAATATGTTAACTAACATGTCCTCAGTAAAAATCTAATCCAAAATTTGACATCAACAAAACTACGTAGTTTGATTATTTATAGACTATCACAGGTTCTCTTATATCAGAAATGCGATGCATACAACTTATAAGTATCTCATACACGTGAGTCAAATGTGGTATCCATCATAGAGACGACTACTGCCAATTGATAAATAGGGCCCACCTCAAGATAACTCACATTATGACGCTTGTTTGAAGCAGTAGTTACCATTTCTGTGACCTACACTGTAGCTTTTTCAGTATCAAGAATAACGAATGTCATGTGCTGGACATACAAAGCAGACATCTATTCTCCGCCAGCTAAATAAACTAAAGATAAAAAATACAAAAACACAAACAGCATCCAACCACAATCCAAGTGACACGTCTATTTACGTCCTTACCCATAACACAATATAGCTTTTAAGTAGATACCTTAGTCAGTCAGCGATAACATGACAATTGGCACCACTGAGTACCGGTCTACAATGCTACACCTCACATCAGCACATCAAGCCCACTGATGAAACAGAAATAAGGAAGAAACTAGTCAAAAATGGTACAAAGTCAGCACAAGAGAAGAGGAACGGATGAAACAATAACATAATCTCACATAAACATTAAGATAATCCGTGGATGCGTGTACGCGCGAGATAGATTTCGAGCCACAACACCCGGTTAGGGATGTCACACGAACCCCAACCAATAACTCTACATTTCCCTACATGACTCAGACATAGTGAACTGATGCCGTCATTTAGTCTGGTCGCCTCTAACCCTTTTCTAGTCTAAACCTACTTCACCCAATATTGCACGATGGAGTAGACAGTGACTAGGCATGTACAACACATTTCCCACCCAACGGAGTCAATGAAGCTTCACAATCTCATCAACTGACTCACCTCTCCCCCCCCCTAGCTTATGCCTTACTGACCTGGTAGTTAACCAACACACGAACTATGCTACAAAGGGAATGGTGATCGAACAACCAATGCCTTTCCATCCCCCCTCACCTTTATTGGTTCAGCTTAACAGCTATAGAGAAGAACAAAGCAAACTGCAGTGCAGTGCTCTTCATCCTCCTTAGTAGGCAATCGGATACCGGCCATAGGTGTAGGCTGGCAAAAACTAAGAGAGCCCGTGCTGTCCATACAGAGATTTCGTCGACCACTGACTCAAACGGTTGATATGACGTCACAAATAAGTGAAGTGGTCAATGCGCTCAAGCATTACACGAGACACATACACACATACACACCAGTCTTTGAACAACAGTTTACATTCATGTGGTGAGAAACGTATCACAAACATTCCCAAATCGCTACTCAAGATGTCCACAGGACTCTGCACTTTGCCAACATCTTCACCTAGCAAGACTATGACATCTGAGAATTCTAAGTCTATCAATGAGTCTTCTGTTACAACGTCCATCTCGGAAAAGTCAGACGAGGAAAGGTCTCCATAACCACGCCAATGCCAAAATTAAATAAGAGTGGAGAGAGTAGACATCATCGACAGACATCACCATAAACTTTAACGTGTCGACAGGTGCTCCAATACAGAGCCTTTGACAGTGATGTAATCACCCCATACCCGCTTCAGTGAGAGACACTGCCATAAGATCTCCTGGTCAAGTCAGTCAAACGCCTCCTTCAGGTCAAAGAATACAGCTGGTGTCGGTAGGTGTATCTGTGTTCGAAAGTCTGGTGGGGAGTGAGGATTCGGTCAATACACGTATGACCAGGTCTGAAACCTGCCTGGATTTCCTGAGTTTGCTGCTGCAGAGTCTTAATAAAGCGTTTGATGATTACAGAGTCTAGGATCGCTGACACTACGTTCTACAGACTGATTCCCCTGTGGTTATCGCATGAGGATTTCTTTCCTTTTTTGAAGACCAGGACAACCAGTTGTTGAGACCAGCCCGAGGGGGTCATATCTGACTTCCATACGCCAGCCAACGTGGTCCATCTAATTAATCACCCTCGACAACCCCTTACCTTTCAATACAGCTGATATTTGCCCGTCAAAACCTGAAGCACTTCACATCGGGGTTACTTACAGCCTTTTTAACTTCTGTAAGAGTTGAAGGACATATCTCATTGGCCCATCCAAGAGAAAAAGTAAACGTTTTGCAGAATAACTGCTGTCTTTTCGATGAAGGTAACCAAAGCATAGCATATTCACTTTTCATTATTCTCCTTTTCAAGAGATTTACAGATGCGTTCACCTTCGAACTGTCATTGAAAGATATAGTTGTGCGGCATATTTTGATCACGATTGATTAACGTCACCCACTAAAAACACCCTAAACACGTGACATCCTCCCCCCTTCATGGTTTCCATACCCCACACTTCATTGCATTGCTGTATTTACTTACTGCCCCTCTAATTACCGTGTTACATTGAGAGGTGAATGATGCGTGTCAATAATTCTAGTAAGTGAGAAGAGTTGAATGGTGTCAACATACATATGAGCTTTAACGCAGCTACTATTCCCAAGTACAATAAAATATATACTAGTGGCTTTTAAGTTGTAGATGGATGCCAAGACAATCAAGCTAGAATCAGATCTGCAAAGCTTATCCATCTTTCACTGGTATATTTAAATGACTTACATTACGCTTCGATATTAATCGCATCATACTGATGTCTTTCTCTGAAAAGTTTGGACCAGTTTCCTTGCTGAGTGATTGCACATTATTCGCAATAATTACAGTACGGAAGCTGGCAGTGGTAAAACCATTTTTCTTCCCTGGTAAGCAACGATAATAACCAACGATCTGTACACGATCACCAGGCTGTAATGAATATATAACATTGTAATCATTACTCAGTACTCACCTGAACAGCATCAACTAAGTCATTGTCTAATAATGCATCGACAGAACGAGGTAACTGACCAGCGGGTGCAGTCTCCGGCATTTCCTAAAGAAACCAAGATAAAAAGAATAATAGAAGAGAACCTGTATTGTGACTGTTTGATGATCACTGTAAACTGATAGTCCATATTCAGTTTCTAATAAATTTCCCTCATCGTCTTTGGTCGGATATGCACCTGCTGAAGGATACGGCTCAAGACTTGATAGATCAGCATATCGACGTTCAACAGTTTTTTTTGTAGCTGGACAATAGTGTACGCTACACACAACTTTGGGTCGAATAAGTGACGCTGAAAGAAACCATAAAAAGAATACATATTCTTACCCTTTGTCACTATGCCCTCTAAACACACCATATTTCCTAGATATTTGGAACTTAGAGTACGAGGTGTTACGTGACGAGAGCCAAAACTAAAGACTGTGGTTTTGTTTCATAAACTAACCTTCCTTCAAAGCCAACAAAAAATTCGTGCTTCGTCTTGGCGAAATCTGGGTTCGCATTTTGGATACACTTTTTAATTGCTCTCTGACAAGCGACTATCTCCGAGCAAGTATTACTTAGTAGTCTGAAGGATGACATTTAGAAACACTTGACCAACTTGTTAGCTCTTTCAGAATTCTGCCGACGTAAATCATTGATGTTGATCATTAAGCGAATGGCATCGCGAGTAATAAGGGAACTGATACGATCCTTGTATTCATCCTAAACAACGAATACAATAGACAGGAACCAAAGCCATACCGTTTCATCAAGAAATTCCACATATTCCCGTTCGCTTTCTATAAGCGAATGATCCACAGTCTGATCCATTTGGCTAAGGTTAATGAAAAAAAATCGAAAAAAATTGTAGCAGATTCCGTAACAGTAATCTAAAAAAAAAGCTTAAGTGAATAGGAAGGAGTCATGAAATTAATGACGTCAAAGAAACATGTGTATACGGAAGGTAATATTACACAGGTGACTGATATTAAGTCTTATATGTTGTAACAAATCAAATAGACAGTAGGATACATATAAGTGAAATTTGAAACAACTTACCACCGAGACGTTTCGAGAAGTGGGAAATGGGCGGTACATTGCGAATCAATGTCCAGACACAGACAAGATCAATATACGACCGTGTATTAATGCGTAACGGCCAACATTGTCACACCTCATAACAGTACATTCAGCGAAAAAGACAAGATGAAATGCAATGCAGCGGAGAAAACAGTCGATGTGGTAGAGAGCCATGATAAGATAACAAGCAAGAATGGGAAGATACTGGATTTAATATGATAATTAAGATGAGAATAACGAGTGGGTACGCCTGCGTCACTGGCATCGATTTTGGGACACGTTACCTATAGTTTCCAACCAATGGTTTATGTTATCACTCGAACCCCAACCAATAACTCTACATTTCCCTACATGACTCAGACATAGTGAACTGATGCCGTCATTTAGTCTGGTCGCCTCTAACCCTTTTCTAGTCTAAACCTACTTCACCCAATATTGCACGATGGAGTAGACAGTGACTAGGCATGTACAACACATTTCCCACCCAACGGAGTCAATGAAGCTTCACAATCTCATCAACTGACTCACCTCTCCCCCCCCCTAGCTTATGCCTTACTGACCTGGTAGTTAACCAACACACGAACTATGCTACAAAGGGAATGGTGATCGAACAACCAATGCCTTTCCATCCCCCCTCACCTTTATTGGTTCAGCTTAACAGCTATAGAGAAGAACAAAGCAAACTGCAGTGCAGTGCTCTTCATCCTCCTTAGTAGGCAATCGGATACCACTCCGGCGCCATAGGTGTAGGCTGGCAAAAACTAAGAGAGCCCGTGCTGTCCATACAGAGATTTCGTCGACCACTGACTCAAACGGTTGATATGACGTCACAAATAAGTGAAGTGGTCAATGCGCTCAAGCATTACACGAGACACATACACACATACACACCAGTCTTTGAACAACAGTTTACATTCATGTGGTGAGAAACGTATCACAAACATTCCCAAATCGCTACTCAAGATGTCCACAGGACTCTGCACTTTGCCAACATCTTCACCTAGCAAGACTATGACATCTGAGAATTCTAGGTCTACCAAGGATTCTCTAGTGAAGAGAACAATCCTTGTGATGTCAGGTGACGAGGGAGACCTCCTTAAGTGTAAACGGCCAGCACGCAGTAGCACACAAGACACAACCAAACAGCCTATTTTCATAACTCTGTCTCCTTTACCTCCACACTCTAATACTAATATTACGCCGCACCCAACCTCTCACTCTGAAACCAATGCCAACAATATCTCATTCCTAGTCTCCCGAGACCCTGCCGTAGATCTCACAGAAGCGCTTTCAAAGTCCGAACTCTTCGCCAAAGTAGAACCAAGCATCGCTCCCCAAAACTCTGGGATTTCCAGCCATGGATGTATGCTGTCTTGGAGTCACGTATAAGGGACTCAAGCGTGGTAATTAAATTGACTGCACCTGACCAGTGTGGTGTCTTTGAAATTCACTTTAAAAGTATCCGGAGACCCAGTGGTTAGCTCACATGGACTCGTCAGTGTAGGCATAGCATTGAGCTGGAGGGCAGAAAGTACGCTTCTCGACTGAGTACCAGTAAACAGCAGTCTATGTTCTGTTCAACTAAATGGATCTGTAATGACTACGAGAGGTCGTTAAACTAGGCAATGGACTAAGTACCTACCGTATGCACTTCGGAGGATGCAAAGGATGAATTCTATAAAAAGCTATCAACTTTGCTACAGAAAGCAAAATGTTCACATGTAGTCATAATGGAAGGTGACACAATGTTAGTCAAGATGATTCCTATATTGTTTTAACGAGATTTGTCTCCCTTCTTACAGATTGGAACGTTCAGTGAAGATGATGGGACTACCTCTGATTCCTACATATTACTTAGTACCTTCGTTACTGTAATCACCAATTCGCTCTCACTGAAAACACCATGTAGCGAACTGCCAAGTCGTGCTGCTCTGCCCGTTCCAGGTTCGACACAGCCTTCTTAACTTCGACGAGAGTTGGAGGACCGAAATGCACGTCTAATTTATGTTCGGGCTGGATACTGGGGAACTGGAGCGTTGCTGTGGACCAGTTGAACTGTGCTGCAGTGTCCCACTCAACGTTCTAGCCGTCTGTTCTGAGATTATCGGGGCCCCATCCTTTTTCGTGATGGTTTCACTAACCATCATCTTGTCGGTATGCTTCATAAACCTAGAGTCACCGGGTATTACATAGTGCTAGTGCCTTCTCTACCTCTTGCTTTCGCCCTCCATCACTGCTCACGGTCGACGCGGAGACTCCTGGTCAACTTACGCATAAGTTGCTTTCGTTCTTCGTCGTGGTCAGAGCCAGCTGAAATCAGTCCTTTCACACCAGTTAGCCTGGATGATGTCGCGGGAATCCAGTGATGTTTTCCAACCTTCGGGAGTAGGTTACATAGTGCCTTCACCCCCATTTTTACAGGAGACTTAGCATTATCACGCCAGGTTTCCTCAGGATGAGCATTGCTGTCCTGTTTAGATAAATCTTTAGATAACTATTTTAGCTAAATACGTACTTGACGTTCTCGTCTCCCAATCGATCACAGACAAGCATTATCATAGCCTGTTTCCTACAACCTTAGAAAATTAACAATATGAAGATATAGGTTAGTGCTAATGTCTAAGCTTTAGATGTAAGAGTAAAACTTGGACACCGTGGTGGAGCATAACTCCATAATAGATTGTTAATCTGATATAGCATATTGTTATTTACTGGATGACGTTTCGAGCAGTTTACTGTTTATACTCATATACGAATCTGATATTATAAATGAGTAATACTCTCTGCTCGAGGTATCATCCAGTAAATAACACTGCATCACTATGCCATGTCAAATTAACAATATTGTTAATTTAACATATGTTAAATCCCGGGATTTAACATCACCGATGTCAGCAACTGCATCGCGGTCAGAGCGAGAATCAACAGACTATAAAAAACTTCACACCATTCACTATTATTCCTCATCTAAAAAAAACTTGAGATAGTGTTTCTAGACTATAATAATATGAAGAGTAGCAACATACTGTAGTTCAAAACGCCGCTTTTGACCTTATTAGTTAAGTCACCGCCTGGCAGGTGCAAGCAAACAAGAAATACACACAGTTTCCCTATAAATCCCTCACTTCGATAAAAATCTGAGCTTGGAATTCCTGATAAATAAACAATTGTTGTTACATCACGTTAGTTCTTCATGTATCCAATGTCCAATATTGATAGTGCGAGCGTAGAAAACTGGTAGTTTTTGATCTCTCGCGTCTAGTTCTTAGGGCTTGGTTCCAGTTGTTTGGTTTACTCCTGCAGTGGACGAGGAAATCCCCTCTGCTTTCTTGCTTTTAGCTTCTGTGAGGTGGATGTTTTGTGGGTTAGTAGGTTAATTTGTAGAGTGATTAGGGAGCTACGGGTTGCTGGGAAGTTTAGAGAACTGCCATGACTCCTGCCTGTGTAGGTACCTGAAAGAGGATAGTAAGGCAGTGGTAAAGGAATGAAGAGAGAATAAAGAAGATAGTGAAGTAGCACCATAGAGACTCTGGGAGCTGGGTTAAGGCCGTATCGCTAACCATCCTTGCCTTTAAACAGGAGTTTGCGTAGATAGCCACTCCCCCTCCTTCTCTATGTTCCCTGTCCCTGCGGAAGAGTTCCATGCCAGCAACACGCATCTCTTCGTCGGAGATGTCCGATGAGAGCCAGGATTCGGTGATGAATATGATGTCGTAGTGCTGATGTTCACGCAGCGTCCTCATTTCTGCTACCTTCCCTCTTCGCCCCCTAACGTTGCTGTACATACATATTAGAGTGTGCCTGATGAGAGGGGAGGTCTGGATGTGTATTTTCGAGGGATGAGCGCTTACGTGGTTGATTTTAGCCTAGCCAGTCCTCATAGGACTGGCATTGTTCCGTTTTTTGTGTTTTGTTCTTAACTTGGGTGGGGGCTGTAGCAGTGGTGGCTTCTTTACTTGATGTATCTAACTCACAGGTCAGCGCCTGTGGGACGACCACTGACTCCAGAGGTCTTGGTGGTTGCCGTCTCTCCTCTTGCCTTGTGGGTCTAGGCTTACTTTCACATATACGTATTGAGCCACCCATGCGATCCTTCTCATTATACCATGCGTGCAGAACGTCTGTGAGGGAGGCATATGAGTCGAACTGGACGGCAAGTAGTCTGGGATTGGGTATGGTCTTCAGGTGCGCTGGCCTTGGCAGTCTACTGATGCTGTTGGCCGGTATACTGTCTAGACCAACTTTGGTTGAGAGCCATTGCCATTGTTGGACGTCGTGAAAGTACCGGTCTTTGACCGAGCTGTCACTTGGCAATTCTGGAATCCCATGTACAACTATAGTGTTGTTTCTGTATGTCCACTAAATCCACATTCATGAATTTAACTGTCTTGAGGAGTTTGTAGAGATTGTACGAAATTGTGTATAAACCATTTAAATTAAAAATAGTTTCTCGTTTTTATCACTCTTTACACATTTTGAAAACTCCTCTATATGCTACGAAAACGAATGTTGAGATTAGAATTTTTGTTGCAGTGGTATCGCGGCATTTTGGTTATTTAAACCTGAAAATGTAGTTTGCCCCTATCTCTCCCGACTTCTGCCTCCATTAACTACTATGTGACAAAAGTAATCATTGACTATCCTTGGATTTTAATTCGACCTTGCACCCAACTTCCTAACGTCACTACACACAAGCCAACCAACGTCGACTCTAGAGCGTCAACAAGTATGAGCTTCTGGCCTAACACCCTAGCATACTAAGATAGTGGTGGACAGCACCGAACAGGTAACACCGAAGCAACCTCTTGTTATTCATAATACCGTCGTCACTGTTCTGTACTACAACGCAAAACGGTTCATATTTGTACATCGTGTCAATTTCAGTTAATGATAGTTGACTTGATACTTTGGTTTGGTCGATAATTGTTTGCGCCCACAACAAGTTTACCTGGCGTTCTACGCGGCTTCCGGGGACTGTTAGGTGAATAGTAGCAGTGATTTGTTGGAGGGCATTTGCGTGCTGCTAGCAAAAAAGCTGAAAGATGGATTGAACCAGCCTGTAGCGTCATGCACTTCCCGAAAATCAACAGCCTAGGGTTTGACGACTTTCGACATTGATGCTGACCTTGATAGTTTAACTGGACTCGCTAAGCTGAAGGCACCCGGTCAAGCATCCTCGCCATTTGGCACGCTGTCGTGTTACGTTGCATTGCTCGTATTCGACTCTCTAGCCAGTTAGTTGGAACGCATCGGTATTTTGGCATAACCATCCAAATATACTATTCCATCCGACTACGCTATCGTGTTCTTCCTTGGTCTCGTATTCGTGGGTATATAACAAGTTCGAATAATTAGTGATTGGTCTTTGCGTCTGTCAAGTTCGCACCAGGACAAATCCTAAATTGGTGAGCCCGACGTGATCACATATCCCGACCAATAACAAGTATTGAATTGGTGAGCCTGTTCCATTTTATATTTGTTTATTGTTTTCATTTCGATAACATTTATATATCCATTTACTACACTTTCTCATGTCCGACCACACTCCCAAGCTTATTCGTATTAAGCCGACTACGAACACGATCCAACTCGTGCCATATTGGCCAGACAATGCAGAAACATGGTTTCTGTATGCCGAGGCAGATTTTCGAGAACAGGGTGTCTCAGATCCTCATTCTCGATTTCTTGCTGTCATACGGTCACTACCGCGAGAATTAAACAGGTATGTTACAGCAAACATGTTTAATCCTGAAGTAAGTGACCCTTATGCACTTCTAAAGGCCGCACTCTTGAAGAAAAGCGATCTCACAGATCGCCAACGTCTAGACGAATTGCTTCGTAACATCGAGCTAGGCAGCCACTCAGCTACTGAAGTCCTCGCACGCATGCGAGAAGTAATCGGTGCACGAACATTTGACGATGGTTTCTTCCGAGAACTATTTCTCTCGAAACTACCACAACCGGTGCAAACCGTGTTGGTGACACTCCAGTCAGTCCCACTCGACGACCTGGCAGCCTCAGCAGATAAAATACTGGAGATATCCAGCAGACCCGTCTCCAACGTATATTCTATCTGCGACAAAACAGAGCGCCAGGATTCAGAGGTGACCAAGTTGTGCAACTCTGTGAGACGGTTGCTACGATCTCGAAGTCCTAGATCACGTAGCACTTCACGGAAACGCACCTTGGCGCATCGCAGCAAGTCGCGTGGTAGCCCTAAAACGAAACCCAACAGGGTGGAAAACCCTGAATGGTGCTGGTTTCATAACACTTACGGGGATGAAGCCAGAAAATGTCGTAAACCATGCCGTTTTAAGAAGGACCCGAACTCGGGAAACGGTCACGCCGGCACGTGCTCACGGCAACCGTAGCCGGCGGAAAAAGCCGTTTGCTCTACGTCACGGATTAAAACGAAAGTCCGCTACCTCGTCGACACCGGCGCAGAAGTTAGCGTTCTTCCAGCAACGACAAAGGAGCGTCATCTTGACCCATCCTTCAATCTTCAAGCAGCCAACGGCAAGGCAATCGCGACATTCGGGAGACGGTATGCCTACCTCAACTTAGGTTTACGCAAACCTATCCACTGGATTTTCCTCCTGGCAGACGTCTCTATGCCCATCATTGGCATAGATTTGCTAAACCATTACGATCTACTCGTAGATGCTCGCCGTCGACGACTGATAGATAACAGCACAAAGTTATCCATTGGCGGCACCACCTATGTAGGTCCGAGTTTAGCCATCGTTAGGACTAAACAATCAGACGACGCGTCCTACCAGGCAGTTCTGGAGAAATATCCAGAGTTACAGCAACCGAAGCACACTCTTCCGTGCATAACCAGCAATGTTATGCATCACGTCACAACCACAGGTCCACCTGTGGCATCCAAAGCGCGCCGTCTAGCCCCCGATAAGCTCCAAACGGCGAAAAATGAATTCGACCACATGCTCGACCTGGGCATTATCAGACCGTCGAACAACCCTTGGGCATCGCCATTGCACATGGTTCCCAAAAAGGATAGCAACGACTGGCGTCCAACCGGTGATTACCGAAGGCTCAACGCCAAAACAACTCCGGACTCCTACCCGATACATCAATACAAACCCTCGTACACTTTGCCTTTTTATATCAATTTTTATTTACCATGTAATGAAATTTTAAAAAAAACGGTAAAGATAAGCGTAAATTTTTATTTTTCGATATGTTTATGTATAAATAATTCCCATTTTTAAGCAACGTTTTCGTGGTATTAAAGACTTTTATTTATATTCCAGGTGCAACGAGCACTGGACGGAACGTCGAAAGGAACAGATGACCGCGACCGACGTACAATTCCATTTATTGTATTTTATTTATTTAATCGCCACGACACCCTAGAATAAGGTTCAGACAACCAGGGGCCACCTCACGCAGTGAGCCCATCGGAAGAGTTTTACCAGTGGAGAAACCACTGGGTTTTTACTTCCGGCTGGTATCGTCTTAGGGTCCTCACGAACCCACTAGGGGGGGAGTGATCTGTAGCGTCATACACTTCCCCAAAATCAACAGCCTAGGGTTTGACGACTTTCGACATTGATGCTGACCTTGATAGTTTAACTGGACTCGCTAAGCTGAAGGCACCCGGTCAAGCATCCTCGCCATTTGGCACGCTGTCGTGTTACGTTGCATTGCTCGTATTCGACTCTCTAGCCAGTTAGTTGGAACGCATCGGTATTTTGGCATAACCATCCAAATATACTATTCCATCCGACTACGCTATCATGTTCTTCCTTGGTCTCGTATTCGTGGGTATATAACAAGTTCGAATAATTAGTGATTGGTCTTTGCGTCTGTCAAGTTCGCACCAGGACGAATTCTAAAAGCCACTCTCAGTCGAAGCTATACATGGCTTCCAATTCCAGGAAACTTCAGCCCACCTAGGGCTACCTGTGTATGCCATATATACAACAAATGGGATTGATCTAATTAAGCTCAACTCCTTAGCTTCTTTGAGGGACTATAACTAGTGGTAAATATGAGGTCTATAACGCTATGAGGCTAAGCCCAAACCCCATCCT